CGTCTCATCCATTTCCTACCCTTTGGTCTGCTAAAGATGACACATCGAGCCTGGTCAAGCTGCTGCCACCCGAGCAAGATCTCTTCTTTTATCTCGATGCTTTCCAACGTCGCGCACAGTTCTGCTCTTTCCCTCATGTGCCCGATCAATGTACAAACAACGAGGTCGCACGATTCCTGGAGAACCTTGAGCACAACGCCGCTCTCTATCCCGACATGCTGGCTTTGCTTTTCGCCACCCTAGCGCAAGGCTTGCAGGATGGTGTGTACGACAAATTTGGCGGGAAATGGGTTGCCGGTAGCGTTGAACAGGAGTCAAAGAAGGGCGATGTCTACAGTCAGTATCAATGACTAGAACCCTGCTTTCCCTACTAAAGATTAATCAGTCGCTGCCGCTTATCAGTGTTTGAGGCTTGCTTCATTCATGAGCCGGCCAACATTACTTGTCATTGAGGCACTGGTGATGATGGGACCATACCTTACCAACAGCGGCAAGTTTCTTGATGCATCGGCTCTTTTCGGCGGCACTGTCAGGCTTGCTCAAAGTATTGGCTGTAAGTCGATCATCGCTGAACAGCTTTAGCTTTGTGCTTACGTATATAGTGCACCGGGATCCAAGTCAATTGAACCCTCCAGCACCTCCCAAAGAGATGAACATTCGAAGAAATCTTTGGTGGTGGATGATACACATGGATCAACAGTACTCAATGGCGCTGGGGAGACCTATGGCAATATCAAGCATGGGCGATTGCCGACCACCGGAGCCGATAGTCCCAGATCCGCTCGTCCAGAGCCTTTCCAACTATCTCGTTCAATTCAGCATCCTGGGACGCCAGATCCTGTCTGCTGGCTACCTGAACAACGATCAAATTGACAAATTCTCCGACGATCTGTTGGCCCTGCAAAAGACTCTGCCTGCTCTGATTTCACTTGATATGAGCTGGCTAGATAAGGACAAGGTACTCCCAGGATGGCCTTTGGACGCTCAAGCAGGGGTCTTGCACGCAAAGACGCACAACTTTCTTATCCTGTTGAACCGACAACGAATTGAGAATGTGCGTCGTAACTCTGACGGACCCAATATCAACTTCTCCCCTGTTTATCCCAGTGTGGATGCAAACAATGTGCCCCGCGGCAGAGGTCGTGTCCTCATGTCCTGTCGAGCGCTTCTAGTTGCTTTTCAATTCTTCTCAACTCGAGTCCGTGCGGCCATGATCTGCTGGACAATGGGCCAAATGGCCTTCAACGCGGCCATGATCCTACTCTTGTCCATGCTTGAGACAGGTGACACTCAGGATTTGGGCGCAGTTCAACATACGTACAGCACCTTCCTCGAAATGAACAAATTAGGCATTCATAGACTAGCTGGCGCGGCAGTTGAACGACTGGGTCTTTTGATGAAAGAATTCCGAGCAGGTGATCCTGCGAACGAGACTGTGATGGGGCAGCAAGGCATGATGCTTCTGGAAGATCCTGGGCTACAGGGTTCTATGCCTGAAACATTCTCACCCCTCAGCTTCCAAATGGCCGGTGGGTCTGACACCCCAGGCATGAGGAGGGAAGGTAGCGACACAGGGTATCGTACAGAAGCGTCACAACTTGCAAGAAAGAAGGCACAACGCAAATCAGGTACCGGTCGCGAGGGGAAAGGAAAATCAGAGAAGAAATCTATTGGAAAGTCCGCTCAGCGGCCGTGGACAGACCGTCGCTTCTCCGACGGTGCAACACCCAAACAGTCTCGAAAACGCAAAGCCAATCGAGGCACGCCTATTCTTTCTCTGTCTACTGTCCTTCCAGGTCAACACAACTTCTCGGTCACGCCACAACCAGCCATTAAGCCTGAAGATGATCTCTTCTCGCCAATTCAGTCAACATACCAAGGCTTCCACCCCATCAACTCCCCACAACAACACCAACAGCAGCAGCAGCAGCGCCATCACTTCGAAACCACGCCTCGTCCGCAAGCGTTCCCCCAACCCCATCAGCATGTCGCAACTTTAGCCCACAACAATCAATCCCACGCTGCATCAGATCCTGGCGATCACACCTTTGCTTTCAGCAATCAGACCACCCCTGGGTCAGCCGGCAACTACTTCGATGAAACTTTAGGTCATCATTTCGCCGGCGAATTCGACCTTCACACGCCCTACTCGGCGCCACCTTTCAGTTTGCCGGACGACCCTTCGTCCTCGTACGCACAGCACTTTTAACAGTGCTTAGACTTGTGTGGCGCGGCGTTTATACCCGGTGGGAAACGGTGCCACAGCATGGAACACAGTACATGTGTGTGGCATCTTCAGCATAGCCTGGCGTCTCAGACTCGGCGGCTATACATCTGTCTTTTGCCGGAGCGATGCATTATGAGCGATTTCATTCTAAACATCACCTACTGCTACTACTACTACTACTACTACTACTACTACTACTACTACTACTACTACTACTACTACTACTACTACTACTACTACTACTACTACTACTACTACTACTACTACTACTACTACTACTACTACTACTACTACTTCTACTACTACCACTACTACTACAACCACCAGTCCTTTCGCCTGTCCAGCTTCTTCAACATCTACCATCACCCACCATCTCTTGCCCCATACCAAGAAAAAAATCCATCCGAGATGTGCCAACCCCAACACCAACACCATCACCCCTCGACTTGGCCATTTCGGACACCCCGAATCGATCGCCCAACTCCACCTCCCACACCAGATTGTTCCAACCTATAGCACCACCAACGATACCCGTATGAGTACGTGAGGGCATTTCTGGACACCTTGTCGTCGAGCGTTCTCTACACTACCATCACCGAGCACCATCTCTACTGCTTTTCGGCAACTTGTCATTGATGCCCATGATTACGGTTAAGCGAGCGAAGCGGCATTGGGGCGGGATTTGTGTTGTGTTGCATAGATAGCTTAGCATAGCGAGCGATCAATGCAGGATGCGGATACCCGACGTGTTCGACAAAGAATGAGATTCTCACTCCGTTCTTGCGGTTGTGCTACCCGTGACATGTGCTTTGGTTGTGCGATCAATGCTGTCTCGCTTGTGAGGGGTAAGGCAGGAAGCAGGCGCGTATTGTTTTCACAGAACCGCTCCCAATGGGGCTGACATTTTTGGGGGGAGTTTGCGGTAAGGGTACATGTGCTGATGACTATCTATCGTAACCACGCCGCTTGCGGTGCGACAGCGCAGCACAGATCAACAGCCGCTGATCTGGCCACCAAGGCGGTCATTCCATCCCAATAGCCTGGGATATCCTGCCCTGAAACCTCCCATCAGACCGTGCTCCATGTACATGGATAGAAGCCCCCGGGGAAAATACATCCATCGCTAGCGTGGAATGGACCTTTTCGTAACAGCGCCGCCACGCTCCCTCAACCGGTCGCCCCCATGCGAGAGACGTAGAAAGTGGAGATTCGGTACCGACGAGAGGTATGGATATGGCGGTCGGGATGGGTCTAAGCACTGAGGGGAAAACCTCATCAGCTCCTGCAAATCGTTGCAATGGGGCAGGTATTCCGAATGCACGAAAAACAACCCCCCCCAAAGCTGCGGAGGCGGCAGGAAGAGCTACGGCATGACCGCGGCGAAGGGCGAAAGGGCGTGAATGAAAGGGAGACTCACGGCGGGTGTAGATATTCGCTCCAGCTGCTCGAGAAGAAGGCGACGGCGACCTGTGGGACGGCAATACTTAGCATGTGCCGCGAATGGATCTTCAACGCGGCTCCAAAGCAATTTTTTTTTTTGGAACGATGATGCAACTGCGCATCCGTCGGGGCTTTTGAACCCTCAAGTTTTTGTAGCTCCCTCAGCTCAGTAGTACCGAGGGAAGCCTTCAGGCATCCTCTCCTCCCTCCCTCCCCCTCCCTCCCTCCTCCCTCCCCACCCTCCCTCCTCCTTCCTCGACCGACCAAGAAAAAACCGCAACTCACCCCGGCAAACCCCACAGCCTTCAACACGCTCCGGTTCTCCTGCGCCGTCAACGCGTCATACGTGTCCCGCAGCGCCCCGCCGACCGTGCCCGGCTCCGGCTGGCGAGCCGGAGGTCCGCCGGAGCGTGCGGCGGCGGCGGAGGAGCGCGAGGTGGAGGATGTCGGGGTGGCGGTGGGGGCGCGTTTGGGTGCCATGTTGCCGGTGAGGGTTCGCTGGCTGGGTTGTTGAGGATGCTTTGTGATGTTGGGGGATTGGTGTGCGGAGGGGGTAGGTACGTTGTGGTTGTGGGAGAGCGGCGGTGGCAGGAAGCTTTTGGGGGATGGGTTGATGGTGCCGAGCTAGGACGGTTCGGGATGGGCTGCTAGCGCGAGTTGTGGTTGTGAGATGTTGGTTTGTTGAACGATTTTAAATGCAATGTGTGGGAATGATGGAGTTACATTCTACAGGATTGTTTTCGGGTATTCGTGCTGCTGCTACGGAGACCTGGTCAGGATGATATATATTGTGGATAAGAGCACTTCTGTTGAGATACTCCTTGCTATGAGACGATGTGCTATCAACGGTTTTTGTTCCCAACGCTCGTGCAAACTTGATTGGTATACTAGCACTCCGGTGTATTCGGATGCCGTAAAATACGGAGATGTGCTGGCTTTGGATTGAGATTAACATTAAGCTCTTCTCTGCTACTCTGCGTCGCCAACCGCGCATCTCATACAATGGCTAACCTGCTTCCTTCCTCTATTTGCCACCTGTCAGGTTCAGATATTGGACATACACCTCGTCGAACCCAGATTGTTGCTGTCTGGGGGAGTGAGAGGGTTTACTTCCCGAGAAGAGGATTTCCTCTTTAGAAGGCCGATTGTCTGCATCTTTTCGCTGCAACGTTCTCAAAGCGGCCTAGCTTCAAGTAAGTCGCTTTAGATGCATACTTAGATTCTTAGAAAAAGGCTACACCCACGGTGAACGCGCCCTCAACAATGCCCTCTCCAAAAGTTATGATTCCTATCGAGCATTCTTCCTCCTGCTTCACTTCTATTATGTCTAAACATGGTGGCCCTTGCCGCCGCCAGCTTAGCTGGCCACGTCCTCCAATCCCTCAGTCTCACAGGCGACGCAATCTCCAAGAGCCGCCAGATCCATGCCTCCATTTCGGGTACCTTGAAGGAGCATGACGATCTAGAACGCCTTACGATTCATTTTAAGGATTTGAGCGGTCGGTTTGTAGGCCTCAGCAGGGTCAGTGGACTCGGTGCTGGAGCAGCCATGTTCAAGATGCAGCGAGGTCGCTGAGGACCTGCTGAGGGCTTTAGAACATCTTGGTGTCAAAAGGAAATTACACACGGTCTCCGAGCCTCAGAAGAGCATTAAAGGCGTTATGGGGCAAAGAGAAGCTGACCATGCTTGAGCAAAGATTGGCTGGATTTCGTCAGGAGATGACTGTGAACCTGAAGTACAATTGCTCTTGTTTGCGGTCTGCTTTAGCATACAAGGCTGATGATACGCTTCTAGATCTCGGATTGACGTACTGAACTTTCAACAAACATAGTCTTTCCAAGCTCTTGACGATGCTACAAATGAGGGCGCACAAAAGATTTTAGAGGCGTTGAGTGACAGCCGAGACCAATTAGTCGCTGCCACAGGCTCACAAACCAGGCAGATGAGGGCACTGCATACACAGACTGAGACGATACTCTCTCAAGAGTTCAAATCAGCGGCTGCAAATTCAGTAAAGCAGAGCGAAGGAACCCGCGCCCTTACGGCCAAAGAACACCAGAGCACCCGGGCGGAGGTACATAATGCCGTCGCTGATGTAGCTTCCAGGTATGACAATGCTATTTCCACGGAAGCCGACAATATCTCTGCCCGGATCGAGGAGGTAGATGAAAATACTCGAGCTCAGATCACATAAGTACTTGAGAGGAACCAAGAAACAATGAAGCAAGAGATCAATGGACTGCAGCGAGGGCTCCGTCAGCTTCAGCTAGAGATTGATAGAGAAGAAGAGGAGTTTAAGGAGATTGTAATCAAGATCAACACCACACGCGAAGGACCGCACCGCAAGTTGCTCAGAGAATTAGGTGATTCAACCACCGTGGTTCAAATGTCACTGCATGATCTGAACGAAGCTCTTGAGGTACTTGTAACACGTTCTTGGGGTTTTTAATGTACATCACGCTGACCTACGACGGACCTTAAAACCATTGATCCCACCAATCCAGAATCACTTTCGGCACCCTACTTGGGCTGCATGTTGATCAATCCGCGATCGAAGACCAGACCATGTCCGAGCTCGAGACAGACTTTAGTCCCGAAGTCGGCTTATCATTGCCGATGTACTACGCTTTCTACTATCAGCCGTTATTCCGACGTTTCGGTCCCCTAAACTTGGACCCGGAGGTCTATTCTCGCACAGAGATGAACGGATGGATTCATTGAATGCGTCTGACTCCTGGTGATCTCCACAAATTGTCGCCTGAGGCTTGTGCACTCAATGATTTGGCCAAAAACGGGAACGAGCTTCTCTGGACCATGACTCCTTTGGTAGCAGGCCTCAATGCTTGTTTCACCCCAGAAAATGCAGTACTAGTATTGAGCACAGCTTTTAGCGTGTATTATGATCCTCGGTGTGTATTACCTGCACGTGGAAGCTGGTCTTGCCATATTTGTTGCGAGACGAATTCCCTATCGGCTTGTATGAAACACCTTCAGTCTGATATCCCGTCCCAGGTGCATCGATTCTTTGAGAAGGGCTTTCAACCAACGGAGCTTCAGGGGCCTCGGTATGCGCTCGATTGTACCATGGGGAAGCGATTGGCAGAGGACTTCATTCTCATGTCTCATCTGGCAGACAAATGCGGTCTGCAAGAGGAGACGAGCAGGTCTTTTGCGTCCTCTTCAGTCACGCGATCACACGTAACACAAGAATTGGGGCTGTCGGCAAACAGAGACAGGGCCGACCTTCCTCTGGCCTTGGTCGCGTTGATCTCACAGTCCTTGCCTTGGACAGTCAAGCTAATTTCTGGAGGCGAACCTCATTCTATGCATCACGCACTCTTCGTCTACTGCCGCAGTCGCAGCGTTTTGCATGTCCATACATCGGCAACAATTGTAAATCAATTTGTGAACGCCATCCAGTCGACTGGAATTCCGATTTCTGTGGAAGAGGGTGATTGGTCCCAATGTTACCCACACACGCGTCGCGTTCCAAAAAGTGATCGTCAAGCATCGTATGGGGGTACGGCGTATGCTCGTCTCTGAAAAATCGTGACCTGGTGTTCGTCGGCAGGAGCTTTCCGGGAACGGCAACGATTCAGGACACCTGGGCAAAAACAGCGAAGAACAGATACTCTTGAGCAACCACAGGCTTCCACGGCCATTTTAACCGATCCGTATGCGCGTCAGCTGAAACGTGAATACGGTCCGTCAATAACACCGTCTGCGGCGCTTGCAGACCCTTCCACTGAGCTCGACATCGATCTCCTTTACCACTAGCAGCAGAAACTAAATGCGTGCCATGAGAACACATCCGAAAAACCTGGTAGTAATCCAACTGACGTGGCGAAGACCAGAGCCGACGCTGGACAACCGAGCCGCATCGACGAGAAAGCCGTTGACCCCGAAGATCGCTCCGACAGGGCCGGCGCGGCCTCTCCCGACCCAGAGCCGCACCCATCGCGGACGATGACCGTGCGGCGGATACTTGGGATGTACGATGGGCTCCTCACCCGGCCTCGAGATGCCGGCGGACGACGCGGGCGATTCCGTAGGGTCGTCGTCGAGTCGACGCGCGCTGTTGTACGGTGCGTTACCTCTTCGAGTGGTAACGCCCGCCCGTCTCGGAGGGATGGCTCGACACCGCCGGCTCCTGCTCGAACATTCGTGTTTTCGAGGAGCGAAGAATGGGTTCGAGAGGCGCCTGTCCTCGCCTGGCGATCGTCGAACTGATCGAGGGGTTCTAGAAGATGGGCAGTGCGCGGATGGAGATCCCGCGGTTTGTTTGACTACATCCGGTGATATGATACGGGGAGTAGACGTGGTCGGTTCGAGTATGTTGCCCTAGACGTATTTCCTCCCCCCCTTGTGTTTTCCCCCACTGGCCCTCTCGACTGCTGCACTTTTTCTACAGCTTATAGTTTTTACCGTTTCAAAGGAGACAACACCGGTCGGCTACATCGACATCTTCACTCCTCAATCAGGGTGAGCTGTCATCGATATTTTTTTTAGCTAGCGACGTTGAACTTCCTATTCTATTTCAAGAAGATCTCTCACAGGACCGGCCGAGGGAACGAGTCCATCCACGGTGCTCGGCGACGCTGTCCAGAAGCGCGCTGAAATCCTCCTTATCGTACTAGTACATGATATTACTACTATATTTAAAAAAAAAGGGGAGGTAAGGGTGAAGACGACAATGGATATAGTCAAGTGAAGAATTAAAAAAAAAGTTGATCGTAACGTCGTAATGCATCACCCTTCGTGAACGGTCCCCAAAACTCCGCCCCCAACCCCGACGAGCGTCACGAATCCGGGATCGGCACGCTCGAACTCGTCCACTGGCCCGCGTCCAGATCCCGCACGAACTCGGTGATGTCCGTCCCGTTCGTCTGATAGAACGCCAGCAAGGAGTTGCCCCCGGAACTGTCGGGGAGGGCGGTGACGGACAGATGGGTGCCGGGGAGGCCTTGGGCGCCGTTGATGACGAAGGTGTCGGCCGGGTCGGTGGGGATGGTGGTGTTTTCGGCGGCGAAGGTGACGTTGAAGCCGCCGATGGTGAGGTCGGGTTTTTGGACGTAGAGGTAGTTGGTGTAGCCCATGGAACTGTTTTGGACGACGGGGATGCTGATGTCGCCTGCGGAAATAACGTTCAGCGTGAGTCTTTTTTCCCTTGAGGGATTACGTTCATCGGAAGGGTCCACGGGGAGTTCGTCACTTACTCTTTGTCCATGTGTTGACCGGATGGGTGCTGTTGCCCACGAGCGTCGTGTTCAAGTCTTTCCACAGTATGTTGACTTCGTTCTCCAGGTTGACCAAGAACACATAAGTGTCGCTGCCGGGACCCCAGGAGTAGCAGCCCACGCCCCCGTGGCCGTTGTACCCGCTGAAGATTTGCTGCTCGGTCCATGTATCGTCGCCGTAGGTCCAGCCCACGGAGTCGAAAGTGGTGGCGTTACTGGCGTACCAGAGATGTATGCCGACGGTTTGGTCGGAGCTGTTCCCTGTACCCGTGGTCTGGCCAGGAACTGGGGAATGGTTGTAGGCGGTGTCGCTGTAGAAACTACCGTACCAGCAAGCCTCGAGGCCGACGTTGGGATCATTCATGGCTTGCAGATTGAGATCGTTGATAGGTCCAGGCCTCCAGACGTTGGTGGCGTTATCGTTGATGATCTCGGTGATGGTATTGTTGACGTTGATATAGAATATATGCCACTATTCTACCGTTAGACCGAGACCTATTTCCAGGCTTGGTTGTATACCTACAGCAGCGGTTTGGTTTCTAGCGTAGGCTACAGCGGCTATGGGGGTTCCATTCTTGGCGTTGCTGGCGACAATGTCGGTGATGTCTCCCCCCTGCCAGGTCCCATCGCTTGCTAGCTGCGCGGAACGTAATTGGCCGGAGTGATGTTGGAAGTACATGACAATTGCTCCGTGGCCGCCGGAGGCGAAGGACTCGGAAGCCAAGGCTATCCCGGAGCCATTGAATGCTCCGACAGTCGAAAAGAAATCTTGAGGGATAGAGGTTGGTGCAGGCGGTGGTGGGTTGGCAGGGGTCGAGGACCCATTGCTCGACCTGTACAGTACGTGCATCAGCCAAATGGACTCATGGCGTTAGAAGCTGGTATATCCCCTACTTTCGAGTCAAGCCCACACCGAGTCCAATAGCAAGTCCTATCACCAGACACGCGACCAGACCTACGATCCAAAAGAGCAACGGTTTCCGCCCATGCTTGCGAGGCGCATCGTTTCTCCTCTCGGATACTTCCAACGCCGGTTGGTCCCAGAATTCTTTCTCTGTCGAGTGAGGTGTGTATTCCTTTTCCGTTGGATCCGGCGTCCTGAGCGAATGCAGCCCGGGCGAAGCGGGACCGAGAGAGGCGACATCGGGTATGCCGTGATCGGATGTCATGGGAGACACCACGGCGGCGGTTGGAGAGAAGGCCGCAGCATCTTTCTGCGGTAGAGGGCTGTAAGTTGAGGTCCTGTCGGGAAGCTCTGTCGGCTTTTTTTCATCTTGAGTAGAGGACTCTGTAAAGTGCTGCATCTTTCTGCCTTGGACCGCTGAGCCTCTATTTGATGTTGAATGTATTTTGGTTTCCAATAAGGCTGAAAGGTATGTCTACGCTTTCATGTTGGAGTGGAGATGGGGGATTTTCCTTGAGGGAAGAAGAAAAGGGTGGATGAAAATGGAGAAGGAAAAGGAAAAGGAATAGAAGGATGGGAGGGATGGCTTACTACTGATAGCAAGGGAATGACTGCGCCTGATTCATACGGTTTTGATCGAGGCCGCAGATGGAACAAATGTCAATGGTCGGAGACCACTGAGCAGGGACCGGGGGGGGTGCCCAGCGAGATTAGGGAGGGAAGCGAGCACTAACTTCATCAAAGCCATTCGTTTCGCGCGGGAAGGCATGTGGTCAGCAAAGCTTAGCTTCATCTGGCTTAATTCAAAAGGTATGATTGGTGGATCGATATTTGCATGCTTACTTTACTTTTTTTGTGCGACTCACGAGGCGGAGTTCGGTAACATGCTTGTTAGCAGGGCTGAGAACCTGGAGATGAAGGGTACTGTACAACCTAAGTACCTTAAGTTCCGGCGGTGAAAGAGTGCTAGTGAGCCTAGCGACCCTATGAGACCCCAGAATGTTGGAGTGCCATTTCTCGTACTACTCAACCTTGACTCTTGAGCCGTGCAATGGCGGCTGCAATGTGTCAGCCAGAGGTGCACGCCATGCAGTGAGGCATTTATTTCTATTGGCTTCACCACCACGCCATCTTTTACACTTGCTCGCAACTCTCTTCCAGACAGTCAAGCCCATCCGGAAGGACCCTGAACACATCCACACGAGCCATGCGATTTGGATGCTGGTGGATGCATACCAACACTTCATAGTACCTACTTTAGTAGTACGAATACTGCACAGAGATTAGATGTAGGTAACTTGGTGATGCTCCCTCGTGTTGCGAATTGCGATCAGCTAGAGTATTAGTGGCCTACCTATCCCTCCAACGTAAGCTCATCATCATCATCATCATCATCATCATCCAAATAAGACTGAGCCACCACACAATTTCGCCTAAATCGTCACCTCGTACAGACCGTTTTCTTCACCCCACTCCAAAGTAACCTTGTACCCCAACTCTAGGTCCACACTACTACTTCAGCTTCACGTTTACCCCCAAAACATCGCCTCGGCTCGAGCCCTCTTGGCATGCTTAGAAAGAGGTTAGAAAAAAGAGACTTCATCGATACTTCCTGAGTCTTCAGGTATTATCAGCCAACATGTCGAAAGCGGTGTGCGCCGACGTGCTTACTGACTTTGGAAGGAAGAAGGAAAGCGACCGGCCCCAAAAGGGAGGGCCGTTGCATGCCTATTGAACAAGTTCGAGACCAAGTGACGACAAGTCGCAACTTTGCCGGGAGCGCTCAACAACTCCGACACAAATGGCGGAGTACTCATCGCCAAAGAAGCTATGATTGGCTAGGGACGACGTTCTTTTCTTCTTCTTCCAAGAAAGCCGTGCCGTCCATCGTAGCATTCGCAAGCACTCTGAGGCTCTAGAGAGCATGCAAGCATCCAACCCCATACCGGCGGCTGATCAGACCGACGCATGATGACGTCCTTATCACAAGTCACTCAATTGTATGGTTGAAGATTGATTCAACTGCTGGTGTGGACGACGCCCGTCCGTGCGCTCCCTCCAGACTAGATTGACCTGGCTTACGGTACTTTCAATTCCCTCCACACAGAGTGCTCCAGTCGGCGTGAGGCGTTTCCGCAATGGCTGCCTGGCGGCGCCGTTACTTGGAGCGCTTGTTTATTACCTACGTTCTCCGAGTCTCGGCCTAGACCTGTCGGGGTCCTTGGCGATCCTTGGCAAGTGACGACTTGCAACCCCGTCCGTGGGCGGTCGAGACATCTACCGCATCCACTTCAAGTCCCTACTTGTAACACACGCTGACTGATTTGTCTATGGTGCTACCAATCCGCCAGGCTTCGGATCAGCAAAATTGCAGTTGAAGATCCTCCAACGACTGCCTGCGCGATGCACAGCAAACGTATCGATCAGCAAGCTAAGCCGTCGTTGAAGAGGATGATGATGTGCAGAAGCCGACCCCAAACATCCTTCCACGATTTCGTGTTGAGCCGTTTCAATCCAACACCAGAGAACAAAGCGCCGAACGGCAGACCGTGACGGAAAATCAACGGAATCACCCCGATCCTTATGTAAGTATACGAGATCCCAGCGGATTACGTCCTAAATAGCTAGCTAGCTGTCCAGCCAATCGAGTACAGTCTCCTCAGCACCCACACCGACGGGGACGAAGTGTATGACAGCTCGTAAAAGAGCACTGAGACGCCTCGGACAGATCCCCACCTCGAAAGGCACTTTCCAAAAAACCAAAAGAAAACACCAGCGACGCCCAACCGCCACACTCCAAACGACCGCCGCGGTTTTCCCCCCCGGAAACCCGGTCCCACATCCCACCGGCGAGGGGTGTCATCAGAGCGAGCGACGTTTCCACCATCGATGGCGTCACTTCTCCAACCCGTAGCAAGCCGATAACGATCCATGTCCGTGCGTGCGCGCGTCCGAGACGACGTGAGAGGTTCGCCGTTCGAGGTACTCTGCATATCCAGAGGGAGTTTTTCCCCCCTCGCGCATGTGCGAGTCACATACATGTACTACTGTAACAGTGGACCATTGGTGCACACGGGTGGGAGAGACTC